AAAGGCATTTGTTTGTGTAAATCATTACAAGTTGTGGCTGACATTGAAAAGAATGGAAATAAACGGAGCACTTAATTGTGCTCATGTGAAAACTATACCTAGATTAGGAGGCTGTTCTGCAAACAGAGCAAGGGAACACTACATGGTTTACAATTAAGAAGAGAGTGCATCAGGGTTATATTCTCTCTGTATACCTATTCAATCTGTATGCTGAGCAAATTATTCAAGATGAGATGAGAAGAAATGTTGTTTCAGGATCAGAGGAAGACTCATTGATAACCTGAGTTATGTAGGTGACACAACCTTGCTCGTTGAAAGTGAAGCACTTGTTACAGAAGGTCAAAGAATACAGCCTTGTGAATTACATCTCAACATCAAGAAAACAAAAATTCTTACCACTGGACCTATAGACAACATCATGATGGAAGGAGAAAAAGATTGAAACTGTCTACAGCTTTATCTTACATCCACAGTCAACACCTTGGTACCAGCAGTCAGGAAATCAGAAGACATATTGCACTGGTAAAGTTAGCACCTTGGGGACCTTTCCAAATTATTGAGGAGTAATGATGTCAGTTTGAGGACTAAGATACATCTGATTCAGGCCATGATCTTTTTAAGTTGTGGTGTTGAAGAAGAGTACTGAACATCCTGTGGACTGCTAAAAGAACAAACATGTCATGGAGAAAGTGTAGCCAAAGTTCCCTTCAGAGGCAAAGATGATAAAGCTTCACCTTACATAATTTAGGCGTATTCCTTACTAGGGGTTGTTCCATGGAGAGGAACATGGTGCTTGGAAAGGCAGAGAATTGGCGGAGGAGAGGAAAACTCTCAACTAGATGGATTGACGTGGTGACAGCAACAGTGGGCTCTAATGTGTCAAGAAGTGTGAGAAAGGCACAAGATAGGACAGGATTCAGATGTATTGTTCATAGGGTCACTATCAGTCATCATATTTGACTTGACCACATCTAACAACAACAAGAGAAAAAAAACAATCTGTAGTGGCAAAAATCACGTCAGTGGTTGCCTGAAGGTATATATAGAAGGTGAAGATGGAAATTAACTGGGATGGGCCTCAAAGAATTTGGGAGGTATTGGGATTTGAGGGAATTCTTATGTAAATAGGAGCTTTAGTGGCGTAGAGATAAGTAGCTGCACTGCAAGCCCAAAGACACAGTTCAAATCCACTGCTGCTCTGGGGGAGAAGGATGGACAGTCTCCTCCCATGTGGTTTACTGCCTCTAAAAAGCCACTGGAGGGTTAGCTGTGGCTCAGTCTGACTCAGTGGTAACACAACAAAAGCATTTTGTAAAAAATCACCAGTATCCCTTTCAATTAACAAGTCTGTCTTATTATTTTAAAACTGTAGGGGAGCTCTGGTGGCCTAGTGGCAAGAAGCTGCACTGCAATCTCAGAGGTACACAGTTTGAATCCACCAGATGCTCTGCCGGAAAAGGAGGAGCAATATCCTCCTGTACCAGTCAGATCTGATTTGACGGTACACGCGCACAAAATTAAAAAATAAAATAATAAAATAAAAAACTGCGCCGCATTAAAAGTTCTTTTAAACATTTCAAATCCTGAAATAATTTAGTATGAGATTTTTATATAAACTGTAGGCCTTGTAAATTGCTAGAATAGGTAAAAAAAATAAGATGTAAATGATTAAAAGTAGAAATTTTGACATGTTTTTTATCTCCACCATCTTAACTAAACACATTTTCTCTAAATTCTTATATTTTTAGTGAAATATGAGTCATTAGTCTTTTCATCTACTTTAGGAAGTAGTTATTCCCCAGGGATTCTTGGAAGCTTTGTCCCCTCAGAGCCACCTGCTACAAGCAGTGGAATCTGGCCCAGAAATGTCTGGCTGCTTAATAAATCTTACTAAATGGAACCAGGGTTTATAACCAGGGTTTATATTCACTGATACTAAGAACTTCGAGTGTTACAGAAAAATGCTTCTTGATCCATTTAGAAGATAATACTTCGAATTTTTTTTCCTGAAAAGTGAATTGATCCATATGATCTTCTATATCAGGTTCTTAGAATAATCTTCAAGTAATACAAAGGGAAGGAATTAAGATATTAAGGAGTTGAACAGAAGATTCCTAAGGGCACTGCAGGAAGAGAAACTAAAGTATTACAAGGAAATGTGCAAGGAGCTGGAGAGTCAGAAAATCAGAAGGGCCAAACTCGCTCAGCATTTCTTAAGCTGAAGGAACTGAAGAACAAATTCAAACCTCAAGTTGCAATACTTAAGGATGCTTTGGGCCTCCTGTTGACGTCACTCCTGTTCCCACCAAGCCTGTCCCCTCGGGTGCACGGTGAATTCGCCTAAGGGAACTCTGAGGAAATAATTTAAATATATGTACCAATCAAAGAATGAAGGATGGGAGTCATCAGAAGATCTGAGAAGACAGCTTGGACTTTAAAAATCAGAACTTTTACTGCCAAGTACTCTTACTGGCATTAAAATTAAAACGTATTCCAAGAAAATAGAGGACCTAATAAATACTGAGATGGCAAAGCAAAGTACAAAGAAAGTTCTACAGAGATGCAGATTATCAGCAAGTTGCCATGTGGTTACATTTCATCTTGAGTTTCAGATTCTGGAAGTTCAGAATGATAAAGAGTTATCTTCTGTAATTACTGACCTAAATATAATAATAGAACCCAGAGTATCCAGAATTGAATGAATTTGTCTCTAGAGTAGAAGAAAGAAGAGCTCTTTTCGTGATTTTCAAGAGTCTACACTTTTTTGTGGAATGGTATGAATATCAAAAACGCACATTTACACATTTCAAGGAAAAATATCCAGATATTGTCCACCTCTCTGAAGGTGCCGCCGGTAACTGCATGAGGATCCAGAGCACCAGGTAGCCAGAGTTTGAATTAATAATTGTTTGGAGGATACCAGTAGATGACAGAGGGAAAGTTCTGCCAAAACTGGATCTTTTAACCAAAATCCCACAACAAGCTTGGAAACTGGACAAGAAGGAAGTCCAGAAAATTGCTCGTCTGCTTCTGCATCTTGCTGGGAGTACTTGGAATTGCAGCCTCTCTAGAAAGCCTGATAAAATTGTTTCTCAGCACAAACAAATGTTTAGTTCACAGAAACTAAACACTTACAAATAAAATTCTGCACTCAGCAGTTTATAATTTTATTGAATATGAACATTTGTTATTTTCTATCTAGAGATCATATCCTTAAAACATGCTGTGTATGCAATATGGCACATAATTATATTAACTGTCATGACATGAAAAATAAATACAGCTATTTAAATAGAAAATGTCAAATACAAAGAAAAAAAAGGATGCTTTGGGGCAAAATATTAAATGATCCAGGAAGCTTTAAAAGAAAATGGAAAGAGTATACAGAGTCATTGTACAAAAGGAATTGGTGGACACAGAAGAATTTCATGAAACAACATATGAGCAAGAGACTGTGATAATGAAGGAAAAGTTCAGGCTGCTCTGAAAGAATTGGCAAAAAACAAGGCCCCAGTAATTGATGGCATACCAATTGACATATTTTCAACAAACAGACTCTGCCTTGGATGTGCTTACCAAGTTGTGCCAAGAAATCTGGAAGACAACCGACAGACTGAAAGAGATCGGTATTTGTTCCCATTCTAAAAAAAGGTGATTGACAGAGTGTGGAAATTACCGAACAGTGTCATTGATACCACATGCAAGCAAGATTCTGCTGAAGATTAGAGGTCATAATACTAGGGATATTATAGCTAATGTCAGATGGACCTTGGCTGAAAGCAGAGAGTACCAGAGGAATGCCCATCTGTGTTTCATTGACTGTGCAAAGACTATGTAGATCACAAGCTGTGACTGACTCTGAGGAGAATGGGAGGAATCCCAGAACTCTTGATATTGCTTATGCAAAACCTATACTTGGACCAGGAAGCAGTAATCAGAACAGAGCAAAGAAACACTGCATGTTTCAAAATTGGGAAGGGTGTGCTCCAAGGATGTGTCCTATATCTTTTCCAATCTATATGCGGAACAGATTATCTGGGAGGCTGGACTTTATGAGGAGAAATGGAGCATCAGGATTGAATGTAGACTCATCATCAATCTGTGTCATGCAGATGACACAACCCTACTTGCTGAAACTGAGGAGGAGCTGAAGCACTTTCGGCAGAAGGTCAAGGACTACAGCCTTCAATATGGATTGAAGCTCAGCATCAAGAAAACCAAGATTCTCACCACCGGGCCAATTGGCAGCATTATGATAGATGATGAAGAGACCGAGACTGTTAACAGCTTCAATTTGTTTTGCTCTACAATCGACACTCTTGGTACCAGCAGCCAGGAAATTAAAAGGCGAATTATATTGGGGAAATCTGCTGTCAGAGACCTTTCCAAAGTACTGAAGAGCAAGATATGAGTCTGGAAACTAAGGTGTTTCTGATCTTTGCAATTATTTGCTATGTGGTAGAGAACTGGACAATAACTAGGGATGATGGGAGAAGCCTTTGAGCTATGGTGCTGGAGAAGAATACTGAATATACCATGGACTGCTAAGAGAACAAACCAGTTCAGCCTGGAGAGGGTGAATCCAGGCTTCTCCTTGGAAGCAAGGATTCTGAAGCTTTTGACATACTTTAGACATGAAGCAAGGTGGGATCAGTTCTTGGAGAAGGATGTCATAATTGGGAGGGTGGAGGAACAACTCAGGAGAGGAAGACCCTTGATGAGGTGGATTGATTCAGTGACTGGAGTAATAGGTGTATCAGAGACAATAAGATTGTGATGGGATAGAACAGGGTTTAGGGCTGTTGTATATAGGGTCATTATGTATCGCAGGCGGCTTGTTGGCATGTAACAGCAACAAAGCTAAAGAACATATTCAACTTTCTTTGAAAATGTCTTCAATTACAGTACTAATAATAATAGAACACATATATAAGAATAAAATGTGACTTTAACTTTGAATAGAATTTAACTCTTTTCTTTGTGGGTCTGGTTTTCCTCAGATGTAACAGTGGTTTATCAGAACGGGTTACCTGTGATATCAGTGAGGCTACCCTCCCGGCGTGAACGCTGCCAGTTCACCCTTAAACCTATCTCAGATTCTGTTGGTGTGTTTTTACGACAACTGCAAGAAGAGGATCGGGGAATTGACAGAGTCGCAGTATATTCACCAGGTATAGTCACCTTCATTATTAATCCCTACCCTACTTCTCTGTCTAAACCCTAAACACACACACACACACACACACACACACACACACTCTATAGAAGAGTTCCATACTCTTAATCTTAGAATAGTAGGGGCTTTTGTTGTTGTTGTTGTTGTTGTTGTTATTTAGCAAATGGCAAAATAGAAAAGTATTTCCCTTCCAGTGCTTCTAAAAATGTGGTTGTTCAGTCTTAAAAAATGTCTATAAATTATGAGTCTCATTCACAAGCAGCACACAGATGATGCCACGGGCAAGGAGGAACACTCAGTCACATTTATACTATTGAGACCTTTTTTAATTAATTTCGGGTACAGAATAAATTTTTCTAATAGTTGAGCCCTCATCTCTGGAGATAGAAGATATTAGGACTACATTTCAGATCCTTTATTTTATATATTTCACATTAAAGTTTACTAAAGAAATATATGACATAAAAATATAAAATAAGATATTGAAATTTTGCATTTGATATGACATTCATTTCATTATTTACTTAAAATGCCCTTTTTTGTTTTAAATGAAGTATAATAAGTACTCAGTTCCCTTTCACCTGAGTTTTACCATTTCGCCTGAATAAACAGGTATTACCGTCTACCATGTTTCCATGATTCAAGTTTTTATTTTAAATATAATAAACTCTCAACTCATCTAGTAATAACTGGTGGCTCTACTCGAGGTCTAGTTGCTAAAAGCAGCATTGCAATCCCAAAGGTACGCATTTCAAGGCCACCAGCTGCTCCTTGGGAGGATGGGCAATCTATTCCTGTGTGATTAACTGCCTCTGAAAACCCACCAGAGGATCAGCTATGGATCATTCTGACTCCACAGTACACAACAACAGCAACATACCATAAAGTACCATATAATGTAAAACAGAGTTTTCCAGTCAGTTAAATTCCATAACAGACCCTAGGAATTTCCACCATGACCCTAGATTTCTAACTGGTGCCATTAAATCTATGAACAATAATTATTTCACTTATTCACAAAGTCTTGCTCAAAAGCATGTTGTTAGATCTTCATACATATTAGGCCATATATAAGCATTCTCTCGGAAGATCAGAGTTTCATTTAGCAAATAACTAGGAAATGAGGCAAAAAGCGAATAAAAACTATTGTTGCTGTTGTTGTTGTTAGGTGCCGTCGAGTCGTAGAAGAGGTAAATATTTTGGGTAGGATTTTTTACTTTCACTTTATCCTGTCCACGTTTGAGTACCTATGCACATGTGACAAGTTTCATTTTCATTTTTCACAGATGGTGTTCGAGTCGCTGCCTCAACAGGGATAGACCTCCTCCTACTAGATGACTTTAAACTGGTCATCAATGACTTAACATACCATGTGCGACCACCAAAGAGAGGTAAAAAATAACCATGAAGATTGAAGATATATGAGCAGGGCATTTTAGAAAGAATAACCTTGGAAAACAAATTACTTTCAAAGAACACGGAAAACTTTGTTTCAGTGAAAACAGGCTGTGCTTTATTGACAAGCACTGGTCCATTGACCTTAAAACCACTTAGCTTCCACCAAGATACAGAAATATTCTATTAAGTGATAATGCCATTCTGTTTCACATAATGGATATTCTAATTATCTTTTTTCCCACCATGTTGTTGTTGTTGTTATTTGCCATTGAGCTGCCTGCAACACATAGTGACCCTATGTGCAATAGCTCTGAACTCTGATCTATCCTGAGCCAGTCTTACTAACTCTGACACACCTAACCATATTACCATGCCAATCCGTCTCTTTGGGGGTCTTCCTTTTCTGTGCAATCCTTCCACCCTTCGAAGCATGGTGTCCTTCTCTAGGGACTGGTCCCTCCTGGACACATGTCCAAAGTATATGAGATGGAGCTTCAAAATCCTTGCCTTTAAGGAGCATCCAGGTTTCACTCTCTCACAGATAAACCTGTCTGTTTTCTTGGCAGTCCAAGAGTTCAATACTATTCTCCAGCACCCCAACTCAAAGGCATCAATTCTTCTTCTTTCATCCTTGTTCATCGTCCAGCTCTCTGATACATAGTAACTGTGAAGACCATGGCCTGAGTCAGGTGCACCTTAGAACTTTACCCAAAACAATTAGTCTTTTAATTTCTTGATTGCCAGTGCCAGGAGTGTTGTTTGTACAGTTGAACAAGCTGAAATTATTGACAACTTCAATCTCTTCTCCATCTATGATGGTGCTGCCAGTCGGCCCAGAGATGATTGTGAAGCTTCAGTTTCTATTGAAGGCTGCACTCCTTGACCTTCTGCAGCAAGCGCTTTAGGTTCCTCCTCAGTTTCAGCAAGCAGGGTTGTGTCATCTGCATATGATACTTCCTAAAATTAATATGACTGAGGATATACTGTTGTTCCATTTAATGTTTATCCTCAAATGTAGACAACCTTGTTGTTAACCCCAAAGTTGTAAGAAAAGGGCAGGAAAAAACTCAAATGGAGGAGGAAGTTCATAACAATTACAGGAAGGCTATTTACAAACACCATGGCATTTTTTGGGTTACTGTAGGTAAGTAACTATACTGTAAGTATATAACCACATTCTCCTCTGACCACAGCAAGGTGAAAGAAGTAACTATTTCAGCAATTAGAAAATTTTATAATGTAATCAAAAGTCTAAAATCAGAAGATAAATCTAAAAAGAGAACACAAAAGCCTTTATCCCACTCTATATTGATGTAGCCTTTAACTACTTTCCTCTTAGTCTTGAGAAGGAAGAGTATGTCCCTTCTGTCACTAGCTGTTGTGGTTTTATGCCAAGAAAAGTCATTTTGATTGGCACCACTTTCTTTCTCTACTTAGAGGGTATTGGAGACTTTGCTTCCCTCTTAATGATGTAAATAATTTGAAAGAAAAAGTTGGTGGGGTAAACCAAATACCAACAATAACAAATGTCTGAGCATAAAACCAAATAACTGAAGTTCTTCCTAAATTGATTTACTAGTTGAGAAAATTTTCAACTACATTAGAGTTGTGTATCTTCAGTGCACTTCTGAACTTTAATTATACTGGAACTGATGGCATATGCAGAAACATTAATAAGCATCTAATTGCGTTTTTAGTGAAGCATGCACTTACCATCCAAGCGTGGGTAAGCCATTAGCAGATTTCTCTTCTCAGGTTCTGTAACTTTGTCTATGTTTAGACAGGTTTTCAGGGTCAAAGGTGTAGAGGTTGTTGTTTTTCTCTACCCTGGCAGTACTATGTTATTGCTTATCAAAAAAAATCTTCTAAAACCTGGCTCCTTGAGGCTTTCATTGATGTCCATACTAACATTAGATAGATTTAAGACTGCATGGCTATAAGATGTTTAGTTTTTTAATAATCTTTTCATTGCTTCTAGAAAAGTATTATAGTTGCACATTAATTTTTGTTTTGTTCAAAATAGGTAATTAATACATAATGTTTAAAGCTTAAGAAGTCTGAAGAACACACAAGGAAATCCTCTTCTTCTTTTCATTCTGTGTCCACTAGTACTGTGATTTCTTATATTTCCTGCACATAATCTGCACGTTCCTAAGCAAGTATGAATGCATAGTCTTTTTCCCTTTCTGTGCAGTGAGTTAAGGCTCAATTAGGAAGCAAGAACCACATAATATTCTGTAATAAGGGACTTAAACAAATGAAATCTTATGAAAATATATGCACCAAATGTTATCAAAACATCCTTTTTACATTTATATGCAATGCCATTGATTGATTGCATTCTTCATATTTTGCAGCCATTATTGCTACTGTCTTCCAAATTCATATAATTCTTTAGAATGATGGGAAGGGAAAATAATACTATATGCAACTATGAATGAAACTGAAGAAGGATCTGAGAGGGGGAACTTGGAGGATTAAAAAAAGAAAAAGCCTCTAACTAGCTCTTTTGAACCATGGCACAGATGGACAAACCAGATCTGTACAGAGCACCTGTATTGTAAGCACATCCAGCTGTTAGAGTCAGACCACAAAGTTGGATTGATCAAGAAATCCTTAGAATAATATTGTCAAATAGAATTTTCAGTGTTAATCAAAACATTCCATTTCTCACTGTCCAATATGGTGGTCACCAGTGACATGTATGTGTTGAGCACTTGAGGTGTGACTAGTGTGACTGAGGAACTGAATTTATTTTTATTTTGGTACTTGTGGTTAGTGGCTGTCATATTGGACAGCATAGCTCTAGAAAGCTGTACCTTGTGTGGACCTGGGTTGTTCTTAGTCAGCAGACCTGATGATGAGAAAGATCTGGATACAGAGTAGAGGACGAGCTGTCATCTGCAGATATTTCTGCATCTTTCTGTGACCTTTCTAGCTACTACAACTTTAATAGCATACCACCTGCTGCTTCATTGCCTCCCAGATCTCACTTAAATTTCTCTGGTCAGCTCAAACTCAGAACCACAGAAGGAAAGGTATTTTGGGAAGTGTAACTATCCCCATACCTTTCGAAGGTATATGTGGCACAGATCATCCAAGAGACTGGGCTCTATGAGGAGAAATGTAGCATCAGGATTGGAGGAAGATTCATTGGTATTGTACATTGGGCAGATTGACACAACCCTGCTTGCTGAAACTTAGGAGGACCTGAAGTAGTTGCTGCAAAGGGTCAAGGACTGCAACCTTCAATATGGGTTGAAATTCAACATCAAGAAAACAAAGATTCTTACCACTGTACCAATTAGCAGCATCATGATAGACAGTGAAGACATTGAGATTGTTGATAACTTTAATTTGCTTGGTACCAGTGGCCAGGAAATCAAAAGAAAAACTGCATTGGAAAAGTCTGCTGTCAGGGACCTCTCCAGAGTACTGATGAGCAACAATGTCAGTTTGGAGACTAAGGTGCACCTGATCCAGACCATGGTCTTCACAGTTACATACTATGCTTCAGAAAGCTCGATAATGACTAGATAGAAGGATGATAGAAGGAGAATTGATGCCTTTAAGCTGTGGTGCTGGAGAAGAGTATTGAATATACCATGGACTGCTAGGAGAACAAACAGGTTCATCCTGGAGAAGGTGAAGCCAGGCTGCTCCTTGGAGGCAAGGATTTTGAGGCTTCGTCTGACATACTTTGAGCATGTTGCAAGGAGGGACCAGTCCTTGGGGAGGGACATTGTGCATGAGGTGATGGAGGGACAGTGCAGGAGGGGAATACCTTCGATGAGATGACTGGAGTAATGGGGGTAAGTTTGTTGGAGACAAAAAGATTGGCTCAGGGTAGAGCAGGGTTTAGAGCTGGTATATGTAGAGTTACTATGAGTTGCAAGCAACTCAATGGCACCTAACAACAATAAGAACAATAATTCCCATTTAGCCAGATTGGCAAAGTAGAAAACTGCCAAACTGATTTTCTCACCTAACAGTGTATTGTGAAAAATCACAAAGAACATCATCCTCTTTTAGCTCTGTATTACCTTGTATGAATGTATGTTACCAGCCCCTTAGTGGTGTATTTAATAATCTATTGATAAACTTTTATGTTGTTTGCATCTTCTGCTATAGTATATATTGTAGCAACTACTAACTTGGAGTGTTTGTTATTTAGCAAGTAAATGAATGTTTATGCAGTAAGTATACTCAGCAGTGGAGTTGCTGTGTTAAACTGGATCAAAAACTTAAATTTTAAAGAAGAAAAATACTGAAAGAATCAAAAGATAAATGTTTTGATCTCTAATATCTATTTATCCAGTAGTCATCTGCAAAATGTACTAGGTTGGCTACTTTAGTTTTTATTACCTGATTTTCTTTCTTTAGTCATTTATTTCTTATTCTTTACTATATTCTTCAAATTCAAAGATAAGATTTAAAAGAACTAGAGAAGATGAATGCTGAAAAGAACAAATACATTCTCTGATGAGAGATTTCCTCCGTTGAAAACAAATGACTTATAAAGATGGGAGTGGGGGGTGTTATGTACCATCAAGTACATAATTTCAAGTTAAAAGTACATCACCTGTGACTCATTGTATCCCTTTGTGCAATAGCTCTGAGCCCTGCCTATGCTGAGCCAGTTTCACTATCTCTTGACACACCTAACCCCATTGTCCCAGTCGCTGTATCAATCCATCTCATCTGGGGTCTTCCTCTTCTGTTCTGTCCCTCCACCCTTCCAAGAATGATATCTTTCTTCAAGGACTGATCCCTCCTGCCCACATGCCCAGAGTATGTGAGACAGAGCTTCAAAATCCTCACCTCCACGGAGCAGCTTGGTTTCATTTTTCTCTAAGGCAAACTTGTTTGTTCTCTTGGCAGTCAGTACTCTTCCCCAGTTCCACAACTCAAAGGCATCAATTCTTTTGTCAAAGATAGGGTTTAGACAATGCTAATTAATTGATGGGAAAAGTTCTAAGGTAAAAATGTACAT